ATTCAAAAAGAAAAAACAGAAAAAAACTAGATGGCAGCAAAGAATTATGCCTCCTGTATCTAAGGATGTTGCTGACAGAGCCAGTAAGATAGATAAACTTGTATTATAATGAATGACTTGTAATCATTCTAAGCACCAAGGTTTATTACAGTGATTCTAGGTAGCACAGGACTTCACATATTCTTTGCAAAGAAGAAAAGCCATATTCATGATCAAACCTTGTTAGATTCGTCCCCTGAATTTAATACCTTTCCAGAATTAAAACACAAGAACCAACTCTATCCTGAGAGCTAGATTTAACTTTCAGATGTCTAGAACCTTCATCACAATACAAAGTAATTCTTTTCTGTAATTAGCTTTCTCTGCTATACTTTCTGAAAGACAAAAATCCCAAATGTGCCAGCCTTTTTGCCATTCCATTTCTAGCATAGTTTAACTGATGTTAAGTTTAGTGCTTTAATGATACTCTAGAGTTTTTAAGTTCAGGCTCAATAATTCGTACCTGGGCTGGGCACCGTGGTTCAAGCCTATAATCCCAGCAGTTTAGGAGGATTAGGCAGGAGAATCACTTGAGGCCAGGAGTTTGACACCAGCCCAGACAACACAGGGAGACCCCGTTTCTATGAAAAAAATTAAAAAATCAGCTGGGTATGGTAGCATGCATTTATAAGCCTAGCTATTTGGGAGGCTGATGCAGGAGGATTGCTTGAGCCCAGGAGTTTGAGGTTACACTTAGCTATGATCACACCACTGCACTCCAGGAAGAAAAACAATTACCTGAATGTGGAAAAAAATTAAGTTAAAGGAAAGGAAATTTACCAATTTGTTTATAAAAATTAATAATTTATAGAAATGTCTTTAGCTTTTTAAATCTTCAGTAGTTGTATCATTTTTATAGAAATAACCAAGTATTGGCCGGGCACAGTGGCTCATGCCTGTAATCCTAGCACTTTGGGAGGCCCAGGCGGGAGGATCACTTGAGGTCAGGAGTTTGAGACCAGCCTGAGCAAGAGTGAGACCCCGTCTCTACTAAAAATAGAAAAAATTAGCCAAATGTAGTGGCACGTGCCTGTAGTCCCAGCTACTTGGGAGGCTGAGGCAGAAGGATTGCTTGAGCCCAGGAGTTGGAGGTTGCTGTGAGCTGGGCTGACGCCTTGGCACTCTAGCTCAGGCGACAGAGCGAGACTCTGTCTCAAAAAAAAAAAAAGAAAGAAAGAAATAACCAAGTATTAGTGTATTACTGATCAGTAATATTTCTGAAATAGAACTATGTAGCTTTTATTTTAATACCTAATTTGAAATTTTCCTTTCTATTGTGAGAGTGATTTTTTCCTTGAAAAATAACTGGGATCAGTTTGTTGATGTAAATCTTTTCTATCATCGTCTCATTAAGATTTTAAATAATAAAGCTAATAGTTTTTTGTTTTCTAGTGTCTCAACTAATAGTGGGCTCTACATACCTACGTATCCCTTATTGAATAATTTTCATTTTGAAGTTGTCTGTTATTACAATTGGTATAGTTTAAGGGTTAATTTTCAGAGCTTTCTTGAAAGGTTTTTAAAGATCTAGTTTAAATTGGGCTTTTTAGCATAAACTGTAAACAAAGAATGCTTCAGTTAAAGGGATGACTTTTTTCTTAATAAGGTGTTTCCTTAATCAATTGTAAAGTAAAGGCTTGGTAGCAAGTATAAAAGAGAGGCCAAGCCAAACTGTGATGCTATTTTTAGGCTTCTGGTTAAGCACAGGTTTAGGGCTATGTCAATAAAATATGTGTATTTATTATTTCTACACATTTTTAAAAACTGAGCATTTCATAGGGGTTCCATGAATGATTTTAGTTAAAACTAGAATCGAGTTGAAGTGAAATAAACAATTGGCATAGATGTTCCTTTGAAATATGGCAGGATACAAGTACTTTATGTGATGAAAAGACACACATTATTAGGCAAAACAGCATGGAAGGAAAATATGTCAAATGTAGAAAGCATTGGAGAGAAGCTATAGATGATCACTGCCTTCATAAAAGGCTCATTAATATACCCTGTGAATAGGCTTGACAAATATCAACTGAATAAACAATTTTTAAAAAAGTTTCAAATGGAAGCCTCTAATGACCTCCCATATTTCTCTGATATATTTCTGCAAGTGTTAAAAAAAATGAGGGTATAGTGTGCGGAGGGGAATAAAACAATAATTTAGAAGTCTCCCCTGATAATCAATCAGGTTTGAATTAGTAACCTTAAAGATCAAACATAATATTGCAAAGTACAGAGCAGAAACCACAGAACAAGTACTTATTGAGCATCTACTACATGCCAGGCACTAAAAAAAGACTCTGAAGGACAGATCAGGGTAGACTTTACATGTAATTATTAGATGATCCAAAGAAGAATAAAAAAAGACAAAGCAGAAGCAACAATTGGACAAATCTTAGAAGAAAATATCCCTGAGCTGAGAAAAGGTTTGGGGCTTCAGAGTGAAAGACCTCACGAGTAGTGATGGGATAAAAAACAAAAGATATCAGATATCTTCATAAAATTAAGAAACTATAAGGATAAAGAGAGAAAAAAACTTCACAGTTTACAAACTTCCAGCTATAAAGAATGAATTCCCTACAGTGGGGAAAAAAATTAAACTGGCTTTGGAATTCTCATTTGTAATACCAGGAGCTAGAAAAAGTGGACACAATATACAGAACAATGAAAGAAAAGGACCAGAACCCAACTATCTTATACCCAGCAAAACTATAATTTCCTTTTACCAGAGGAAAAGATGATATTCAATAACTAAGTGACACCACCCAAATACACCACCTCAAGAAAATAAAGTGCAGTTCATAATCTTTAGTACTATATATGTGGCCCTCAATAGGAGACTGGCTGAAAAAATTTGGGATATATTCACAAGATGGAGTATTTTGCAGTTAAAAAAAGAATGACTTTGTTACAACAGAAGACTCAGAAGGATTTATGTGAGCTGTACATGGAAAAAAATCAAGATAGAACTGTGTATATCCCATTTTTGCAAAATAAAAATACATCCCCATAAATTCTACATAGATCTATGTAGGATTGTAATATGAAAGAATACATACTGGGTTAATAACTTGGATTGTAGCAGCAGGGGTAAGGGATGGGGAATGAGGGGCTAATGTGGGAAGAGAGGAGCTTCTATGATAACAACGGCATACCAAACATCCTATTATGTAAAACTACATGTGTCATAAAGAGATGCATGGGAGAAAAGCTACCAAAATGTTAGTGGTGATTATCTTATGGTATTATGATTTCAAGTGACTGTTACTTTCTTTTTTAGGTTTTTATGTTGTTCGAATTATTTACAATAAGCATATATATTTATATAACTAGCAAGAAGCAAAACAGTTATTTGCAGTTTGGAAGAAGACTTCCTTTTTCTTAAAATTAACAAAAAATAATTTCCAATTTTAATAGCTTTCTCAAAGATCAAATGCATCCTCACCAGAGGGGGAAAAAGTGAGAGTAGGATGGTCTGGGCTTAAGAAAATCAATTATTCAAAACTATGAAACCACTAGAAGAAAACATAGGGAACAAGCTCTATGACATTGGTCTGGGCAATGGTTTTTTGGATATGACATAAAAAGCACAGGCAACAAAAGCAAATATAGACAAATGGAATAACATCAACCTAAAAAGCTTATGTACAGCAAAGGAAACAATTAACAGGGTGAAGAGACAATCTACAGGAGAAAATATTTACAAACTATAGATCTGACAACGGATTAACAGCCAAAATATATAAGGAACTCAACTCAATAGCAAGAAAACAACACAATTAAAAAATGGGACAAAAGGACCTGAATAGACATTTCTCAAAAGAAGACATACAAATGGCCAGCAGGCATATGAAAAAATGTTCACCATCACTAATCATCAGGTAAATGCAAGCTAAAATCACAGTGAAATATCACCTCACAATGTTAGAATGGCTATTATCAATAAGACAAAAGATAACAAGTGCTGGTGAGGATGTAGAGAAAAGAGAACCCTCCAACATTGTTGGTGGGAATGTAAATTAATTCAGCCATTATGGAAAACTGTATGGAGGTTCCTCAAAAAATTACAAATAGAACTATCATATTAATCAGCAAACCCACTACTGGGCTTATATCCAAAGGACATGAAATCAGTATGCTGAAGAGATATCTGCACTCCCATGTTCATTTCAGCCTTATTCACAATAGCCAAGAAATGGAATCAACCTAAGTGTCCATCAATGGATGAATGGATAAAGAAAATGTGGTAGCTATACATAATGAAATACTATACAGCCATAAAAAGGAAACCCTGTCATTCATAACAACATGGGTGGACCTGAAGGATATGATGTTAAGTGAAATAAGCCAGGCACAGAAAGATAAATACCACATGATCTAACTCATATGTGGAATCTAAAAAAGTTGATTTCGTAGATGTAGAGAATAGAATGGTGGTTATCTGGGGCAAAAGTGGTTTGTGGGGCTTGGAGGGCAGTTGGGAGACATTGGTCAAAGGATACAAAATTTCAGTTAAATAGGAGGAATAAGTTCAAGAGATCTATCATACAATATGGTAACTATAGTTAATATATTGTATTCTTGAAATATGCTAAGAGAATGGATATAAAATGTTCTTACTACAAAAATGATGACTGTGTGAGGTAATGATATGTTAATTAGCTAGGTATAGTCAGTCTATAATGTATATTTGCTTCAAAACAATATGCTGTACACAGTAAAAACATATAACTTTATCTGTCAATTGAAAAAAAATCAATTGTAAAAGCAAGTCTATGGAAAATATTTAGCCAGAAAGGTCTGATATGAGGCCTAACTGTTATACATTTAAAAACTCAACAACTGTATACTTGGTATTCAAGTTCACAAAAACCTCTTTTACTAGTTTCCTGCTAGTAAGAATCAGGAGGAAAGGGAGTATCAAGATTAGCTTCATGCTAATCATTTGTGGGTTGACATAAAAGGAGATAATAAAATAGAAATTTTATGACAACATTTTATGTTTAAGCCAGATTCCCTGCCAGGACATTTCTGTTTGGATGAATGAAGCAGGATTTGGTCATATCTTAATGAGTTTCATAGAAAGGGAGTTCAAGCATGAGTATAAGCTGCCCTCTGACACTCAAATAAAGTAAACATGGGATTTTTGCCAACTTAAAAGCCTTCTGTGGCGTACTTTTTGGATTGTGGGAGAAACTGAGTCCAAAAATATTTAACATAAAGCTAGACAACGGTCAACTAAATGAAATCATTGTAAAATGTGAACACACAAATAAGAAAGTATAGAATAATTTTGACCATACCTTTCCAACTACTATTTTTGATGTAATCGTCCTCAGTAAAATCATTCTTGAAGGTGGAAATGAGCAGGCTGATGGTACAGCCAGTATGAGAAAGTCAATGCTGATAACCTCTACTTGCTGATCCTATGATCAGCTGCACATCTTACTGCATCTTTTAGTTCACAGAATCTGCTGAAGGTCCCAACTGAGGCACAGTGGCTTGTGTCCTTGTACTGTAACAACAGGGGTTGCCTTAGGCCACAAGTGGGATTAAGGAGACATGTTTTGATAAACTATATAGAAATGTTTTAGGATTTTATGCAAATATTAACCTCGTTTTAAAACATGGGGGGAAATTATCCAAATTCAGTTATCGGCAATTGACAAGACAGTTAAAAAAAAGCCCACACACTCCTATTTAAACAGTTCTATGTAAAAAGTTTCATCAGCAGAGACACAAAGGTACTAAAGGTCGACAATCATCCTTCCTCATCACTGCTGCTCCAGGCATCTTCAAAGGCTGGATTTAACTGTGATTTGGTTGTAGCCTAAAAAGAGAAAAAGAAAAAGGAAGATTCTATTTTTCTACTTCATAATTTTAGGTTCATAGTATAGTTAGGAAATATATCAGATGAGTAGCAATTACATTATTTTGAAAGAAACTGCATAATTGTTAATTTCAAAACAAAAATAATGTAACAAATACCTCTTTTACAATATAAGATAACTTCATTTTAAACAGACATACTAGACTTTATCCAAATAACCAGTTTCCGTCAAAGTATCAATAGTCACTTCACAAATACATACATATATATACCATATGCTGCTGTTGCTCAAGGTATTCCTGCAACTCTTTGGAATTACCTGGAAAAGGTGGTACACTGACATCCATAGGGCTAAGACTGGACTCCAGGTATACAGTCTGACTTAACAGTCTAAAATATTAATGCTGGCAACCCAATGTTGGATGTAATTGACTTTTATAAGTAACCAAATAACCAAATATGGGGAATAAGGTGTTCATCAAGCTGGGTAATACCATTTTAAGTCCAAAAAGTAATTGTGAGTTGTAAGTAGTGAGGTTTATTTACTTATTTTTATATAGTTGGTAAAGTAGTTTAGTAACACATGCAAAATATGTCAGAAATGGTAACATATTTGTATTTAGCACATACGTTTACCTCAGAGATTTTTCTGAAGGATAACATGCATTTAGATGATGGTTACTTAAAACAACAACAAAATATCACAGTATTCTTACTTTAGAGGCACATCTAATAAAGGTAATCAGCAATTATTTGGAGTTTCAAATAAATTCACTTCTTTGGAAAAACTTCTGAATGGGAACCTTCTTATTCTCTGTCAAATGACTAAAAGGGCTTTAAGATGGTCTCATTTTTAAAGTATCTGGGAATTATGAGCCAGGTCTGCTTCTTATTCTGCAGCTTTTACATTTGCTACAAGTTTGTTTAGATCCAAATTCCAATAATGTATTAGCATCAAGACTACCCTTAAATTATCTTAGATGTTTTGCCTTTTACAACTTATAGAAATATTTTTGGTTAAGAGTAACCCCTACTGCACATCTCAAATGTTTATTTCCTTTTTGATGAACATAATGACTTAGAATCTTACAATTCAAACAATGAAAACAGTAGAAAAAGTGAATGTTCTCAGTAAATTTCCCAAGTATCAGCTAGGCTAGCTGGAGAACAATATACAGGTGGTCTCTGGGTTATGGATGAGATAAGTTCCTGGGAACGTCTTTGGATCCCCAAGGAACAGCACATATACAGTAATAATGATAATAACAATAAAACTATAATGGCTCATATGTGGTAATAATACAGTGTAATACTATAATAATAATAACTATACAGAGGTTAAGTTATGTAGAAACTATTGTGCTCTTTCTTTTAATTCAAAAAAACAGAATATAAAAACAAACTCATACAAAAAGTTTAGATAGGAGAAAGGAGAAATTTCAAAATAGAATATTAAAGGTTAATACTCACCTAATGTTACCTAGCATCAATGCTAGGCTAATAGGAATGTTATGCTTACTTTGATCTTCTAATCAAATCAATAATAACTTTTCCATTTCAATAATTAATCCATATGCTGCTTAGTAATAATTGATGTTTCCATTGGAGGACTGCCTTTCACATGTTCCATTATTCTCACTTTATCTTTTATAATTGTTCTGATAGTTGAGCAACTGAAGCCTAACGCTTTCCCAATGAATGATGGCATCTGGTCTTTCCCTGAACATTTAATTATTTCTACTTTTGTCTCCATTGTAATCACTTTTTTCTTCCCTGCAGGCTCACCTAGACTTGCAGTGGACTTCACTTTGGAGGCATGGTCATAAGGGTAAACACAGACTCACAAATTAAGTGATGTTGTGCGACTGTATAAACAATGAGACTAGCTGCTAGCATAAAGATACTGTGCCAACCGCTTACGCCATGTGGATTTGTTTACATGCATGGAAGAAATTAGTTCCAAAATTATTAATTTAATTATAAATTATCTTTATGGGGAGCCTTGGGAGCCTGTTCTTAAGTATAGAATGCCGTTAAGTCCGGTCGTCCGTAACCCAGGGACTGCCTATATTAATTTAGGCATTCTTTATAGTTGTTAATTAGATTAGAGTGCATTACTAAACCTAATGTTGGCTGTTGTCACTTAGGTGTACAACCAAATATCCATTATACTCCAAATGTTCAGATATAAAACTATCATCAAACCTTAACTGCCTATTCACTAATTTCTAGCAGCAGTCCACTTTTATTTGCAATAGTGATATACTGAAGTCTGTTCATTTATTATTTCATCCAAACATTTACTGGGTTTCCTATCTTTTTGAGTTTATAATTTACCAAGTTAGGTTATTTAGTGAGAGTTTATTCAAAGATGCATCATCATTGGGGGGTTGGGTGACTCCTCTTCCCTACTTTGTCTTTAGAAGCCTTTAATTCTGCCTTAGATATCTACCCTGGGTGGGTAAGCCACACAAAGTTTATGCCCCCTAATTCTACTATGGAAGCCCAATGTGTAACCTACTAAACATTTTAATTTCATTTGAAAACTCAGCATAAAAGCAAAATAAGTGAAAATCATAATACGGTTGCATATAAATTATTTTGCTGTTTTTAATGAAACAAAATTAAATGCATTACAGTATAACTAGAAACATTTATTCCTAAAACAATCACAAATAAAACATCATACTTGTAGTTAAAAGCTGCAGTGACAATGTAGACAGATGTAGTACACATTACTGTTTGAGACCCATTGATCAAGTGTTACTTCAGTTTTTCTCTACAACATCTCCACCTAGTGGACAACCAGCCTGTGCTTGAACTTACTCATCTCTATCTCATCAGGTTGCCAGTTCTACTAACAGATAGTTGTAAATGTTACGGAGTTAAAGAAGAGTAAGTTTAGAGGGGACCTAGTCCAGGTCCAAATAATGGGCAGGAGGAACAAAATCAAACTTAACATCTACCAGGATACATCTTGATAACTTTAAAATTTCTAACTGGTAATTACCAGAAAGTCTCAGGGTTGTTTGGGTCGGCAAATGATTATATTAATACACCTACATAACTGCTATGTATTGTGTGAATGTCAAAAATGAGGTAAGATTCTTGATAAGAGGTCAGATTTAAATTGTAATAAACCTTCCCTATAGATCTCTCATAAGAAAATGAGATTAGCAGTTACAGATAGGCCTGCCATGATCATGACCAAGTTTTAAGAAGTGGGGGCAAAAGGAAGCCAGATTCCTCAGAATATAATAAAGCAGCCTGACAATTAACTAATAGGATTATGCTTAAAGACCATAAATCTTGTTCCTATCATCCAATGACCTTGCTTTCTTTAAACAGAAATTTTGGATATCAGGAGAAACACCCATAAGGGATTATCTTTGTTATCTTAAGGGTGGATTTGAAAAGAAACCTAAGAGCAACTTTGACAATTCTGATATTTGGAAATATAAGCTTGTCCCAGATCACAAGTGTAATGAATGGCAGAACTGAGATCCAAACACAGGTTCACCTAAAGCTAAAGGCTAAGTATGTGTGTGTATATGCATGTGTGTTTTGTTTTGTACTGTGCTGTGTTGCCTCCTTGGGAAACTGCAAATCATTTATTTGATAGTTGAGATAAAAACCCTCTTATTTATTTTTTCTTTTTTGTCCTTTTGATTCTCTTTTAAAAAATTATTTTATTTATTAATATTTTTTCTTTGTTTTTTCTTTTTATTATTATTTTTCTTAAAAACACTTTAAAATATGAGTCAAATTGTAAACATCCATGTGAGGAATACGATCTTGTGCAGACAGACTTCTCTACTGGGATCTGCATCATGATCATATTCAGGTTATACCTACATTCATAGGAATCTTTCAAACTAAAGTTTTATGGAAATAACCTTAGCACATGCCATTTCATATTAATACGAGGAGGACTGCTATCTTAAAGTTAAAGATTCTGAACAATGTATTTCAAAAGATAAAGTTTTATAGCTCTAAAACTTAAATATAAACCTCAACTTGTTTGTTGTGTATCTCTATTTGATTTTCTACTTGTTTTGCTTAATTTTTCGTACACAAAGTTCTTTAAGGTAAGGAGTTAAAACTATCACTATAAATACAAAACAAGGAAATAAATAAACCATCAGAGTCACATACTGTCTTTATATATTAAACAATTTAGTTTTCTTCTAACATCTTTTTCTATGTATCAGTTACGATAGATTTACTTTTCATTTATATTTTTATTGTTTCATTTGGTAAATGATTGTTATACTTCCTAATATGGCCTATAGTGTTATAACTTGGATTTAATGTATATAGTAATTCCCAAAGAGTAAGACACAAAAATTAAATAATAATGTAAAATAAATGGCTAAACCTATCTATTTGACCCTATTAGACTTTATCCAGAAGAATATTCAGTCATCAAAAGCAGCTGTATACTAAAACTAATCAAGCCATAACAAACCAAATTAGACATGTGATAAAATCTGGAAGTATTCATATGGCATTTGGCCAGCTGCTTGAAGATTTATCAACATGTGTTTTTCTCTTTCTTTGGATTGGAGCCAAAAGAAAATAATTCACAGGCTTTACCCCGCAGTAACTCATAACAGTTGCAAATTTAAGTATGAAATAAATTTTGTCAGTAGCTGCTAGGTGCCATCAACTACCCCTGTAAAAATCCTATTTCCTATGTTTTTTGACATAGTCCTATTTTCATTAAAGGAATTAAATACAGTATATGAAAAATGTTTTTGAATGTCAAACTTGTTCCATCAATAACTTTTTTCTACCTCCATTTAAGATGTTTTGTTTTTACTATGACTTGGTTAAGATTACCTTGAGGTATTTCTAACTACATTATTTATATTTCCAACTTAAAAAATTATTTATATAAATATTGTTTTTAGATATTAAACTTTTTATATCCTGGAAATTAAGATAAATGAGGATGATTAACAATGCTTAGTAGAATAATCTTTGGTGAGACAACATCTTTAGATTATCTTTCTATTGCCTGATAAGTAAAAAAAAAAAATGCAGAGGCTATTAAGGCCAGGGATTATATCTTATTCATCTTTGTTTACCCCCTGCATTTTTAGGGCTCTTTATTCACACTGTCATATTTATACTAATTTATGCTTTAAGATAGGCACTGTCATTGCTGGTAGGAGTGTAAATTGGTAAAATGTGACAGTGTGAATAAAGACCTTTAAAAATGTCATACATAACAAGCACCACATGTATTCACCATCAAATTGGTATTAACTGATCAACACACAAGTATACATATAAGAATAACATCTATTAGATGTCGGGCAGAGGGGAGGGGGGAGGGGGAGGAGGGGACGGGTATATGCATACACAAAGAGTACAATGTGCACCATCCAAGGGATGGACATGCTTGAAACTCGGACTTGGAGGGGAGGGGAGAGGGGGGAGGCCAGGGCAATCTACGTAAACATCTGTACCCCCATAATATGCTGAAATTAAAAAAAAAAGTCATACATGATCATTTAAGAGATAATTCTACCTCTAGGAATTTATTCAAAGAAATAATCAGAAATATGAAGTTTATGAACAGATATTTACCTTGATGTTGTTTATAATAATCAACAGAAATGTCTCCAAATAGGTAAATATTTAAATAGTGGTATATAAATGACAGAATACTATATCATTATAAATGATGTTTACATAGTTATTAACGATATAGAAAAAGGCTACCGTACAATGTTAATGAGAAAAGTAAGATACAAAGTTGTATGTCCAACCATGGTATTCACTATGTTAAAAAAAACCACACACATAGGAAAAAACAAGAATGAAATAAATCAGAAGGTTAATGTCAATTCAACTTAAGAAATTTTATGTTCTTTTGATATTTTTCTGATTTTTCCAAATGTGTTATAATAGGCAAATTATTTTTACAATCATAAAAATAGAAAGAACTACTTTAAAAGTTTCTCCCATATAAAGTAAATTAATTAAACTTTATTCCTCATGATTTAGAAGTCACTGGACAATTTGTACAAATATTTACCTCATCATCATCAGGAACTGGTTCATATAAGGATGGCACCCAAGCAAGAATATTGCAGTCCCTGCTACCACTATAAAGTTCCTATAAGACAGAGAGCAACAATGTGATTGTGGATCAATTTAAAATTGGTACCAAACTGAGATGAACTATATTAATTTTTGAAATGATTAATTCTTAGGTAATTACGTTAATTCTATTTCTACTCCCTAAAGAAACTAGGCAGATGTTCTTTTTTCTTTTCTTTGTTTAAGATGTAGTAAAGCTTTGTTTTGTATTTGAAAATAGTATTAGGATATGTCAGAGCCAACTAATACTGTGAAAATTTTACAAAAACACTCATTACGCTAGTGGTTTTTTTTTTTTTTGAGACAATCTCACTCTGTCGCCCTGGTAGAGTGCAGTGGCATCATTGTAGCTCACTGCAACCTCCAACTCCTGGGCTCAAGTGATCCTCCTACCTCAGCCTCCTGAATAGCTGGGGCTATAGGCGCATGCCACAATGCCTGGCTAACTTTTCTATTTTTAATAGAGATGGGGTCTCACTCTTGCTCAGGTTGGTCTTGAATTTCTGAGCTCAAGTGATCCTCCCGCCTCGGCCTCCCAAAGTGCTAGGATTACAAGTATGAGCCACTGTGCCTGGCCTATACTAGTGGTTTTTACCAATAATGGTATCCATATATTTCAAATGTCATAATAGAGAAAAAAAAATGGAATAAAGAATTTATCCTTCTTTGTCAGTAACTGAACTTAGATAAACACTTCAATGAAGAAACCAAACGAGTTTCTACTAAAATAGGCCAAAAATTCACAAAAGGCTTTATTTAGCTTCCAAATGCCTAACTGGCTGCTATTCAACAGAAGAGCCTGAAGACCCAAGCTATTCAGAAGTTTACTTTATAAGGGGAAGCTTGGGCTGACATATAGTATGCCAGTGTTTTTACGGATATGCTGTTCACTCATGGCTGGACCATGCTTGCTCTCCTCCCCAACAAAACTGAAGGAATATGTTATATTGGCTATTACTGAAAACACTCCTATGGGGCAGTGAAATATATACTCTCATACACAGGGTATAAATTGGTATAATCTTTTTGGAGCATAGACTCTCAGGATATATCAAGTTTTTGTACACATTTCTAGAAGTTATGTCAAAGTCACACATGAAATTCAAGGATATCATCATTGTAATGTTTATAACAAAAAACAGAAATAACTGTCCAAAAATAGAGGAATGATTATCAGTAAATTAATGTTGAGTCACATGATAGAATATTTCATAGCCATTGAAATTTTTTTTGAATACTTAATGACATGGGAAAATACTGATAATGTCAAGAGAAAAGAGCAGGATATAAACCAAATGCTCAGTGTCAAGGGAAAAAACAATATCAAACAGTAGGTCAATAATAATAACAATAATGATGATAATAATAACAAACTACTGTGCAAATGAGAAAGGGAAAGCAGCAAGATGTTAAGTGGTTATAAAACCCTGAATGACTAAGTGACTTTTCCTCATAAATATATTTTTGTATTTCTAACAATTTTGTTTAACATCTTTTTATCCCTGCTCTGCTATGCAACTATTTATTTTTATTATTGTATATCTCAAAAACAACTTAAGGCATGGTAAAATTAGCACTTTTTATTTAAGTCAGGGTTTGGGTAAAGGGAAAATAAAATTATGAAGTTATTTTATAAGAAATATAGATTTTAAAAAATTAAACTATATTAGATATACATTATTAAATTTCCTAACTAAAACAAAATTTTATTGATTGTATTATAAAATCTAGAATATACGGTTACACTAACTATGGATGATGTAAAGATATGCCCAGATGTTTACTGCCCTTGAATAATTTAGTTTCCCTGAGAAGGCAAGATATATACCCAAGATAACTTGGTGAGATAAGCTTACAAGGTAATTCACTAAGACATAAAGGATATTTTGTAGATGTTCAAGAGAGATTTAAAAAGGCAGCACTTAAATTTGAATGATTAATAAAGAATACCTGGAGGGATTTGAATTAAGAAGCCTTGAAGTATTTGGGATAGATATAGGGGTTCATTTGGGGAATTAGATTTTCTTATTAAAACAATCTCAAAATTTAAGTTACAAGTGCAGTAAAAAAGAATTTTTTTCCTGAGATTAAGCTGCCAAAATGAAGCCTTATCACTTTTGAATAATTTAGCGTATATTTCATATGAACAAGAACACTTTCCTATATAATTACAATGTAACCAACAAAATCTGAAAATTCACCTTAATATATTACTACCATCTAATTCTTAGACCCCATTCAAGTTTTACCAATTGTCCTAGTGCTGTTCTTTATAACGAAAGGGTCCAGTTAAAAATCACATGCTGTAACTTGTCATGTCTCTTTAGGTTTCAATCTGGAACAGTTCTTCAGTCTCTCTTTGGCTTTCTTGACTTTGACAATTTTGAAGATACACACCAGTTATTTTGTAGAATACCTCTCAAATTTGGATTGTCATGATTCAATTTGGGTTACTCAATTTTTCCAGGAATATCACAGAAGTGATGTCCCATAACTAGGTTGTTAACTTTGATCATTTGATTTAGGTGACAAATGACAGGCTTCATCAGGGTAAAATGAATCTTTTTACTTTTGTATTTAATATTTTATGGGGTGATACTTTGAGACCATGCAAATATCTCATTCCTCATCAAATTTTTAATTTACCAATTTATTTATTTATACTAGCATGGATTATGGATTCGTATTTTAGTCAATGGGTTGTCTATTACTATCATTATTTATTTGATGTTGAGTATATCTTGTCATATTTTTACATTTATGATAGAATTACTATATTTTATTTTCAAATAGTGAGTTTTGTGTAATATTTAATTTGCAAAAGCATTCTGCTGCTAAATGGAAGCAAAAGTTCTATCCTCTTTTATTTTTGAGATTTATAATTATTTTCCTTTTTAGAATCATAACAGGTGAAATGGGTAAGAGTTGAGAGCTTTCTGATGTAGTGTAGTGATTAAAATCTTTCTGAGTTCATAGCACATATAGAAATGGTATTTGTCAGTAGGCAACTGGCCCCAGGTCTCTGGCTATCTCAGCTATTTTGGGGACTGATAAAAATCACTATCTTGGCACAATTTTAATCCGTTCTAGGCACACCTATTAGGAAGCTCCAATTTGGTAGGAAGCAATAATTTGTAGTCAGAATACCTGAGTTAAAATCCTGGCTGTGTCTTTAAGTGACTTTGGACAAGAAAAGAGGAACAATATTCTAAAAATTTCTTTGAATAGAGAATCATGCTTTTTGTCAATAACTACTTGCAGATTAAAGGCAAGTCATGTCACCTCTGGTGCTTTAGTTTTCTTCTCCCAGAAGAAACACAAGAAATATTTAACAACTGGTACATTAGGATACTGATTAATCAGAAGAGATACTGGCCATAGAGTTGGAGCAGGGTCCTGGAGATCTCCCTTAGTTGCTGGGTTAAGATAAGATGTAAGAGGTCCCAGGGAATGGGCTAAGGCTGGAGATCAGCTGAGGGGCTTGGTACAGCAGCTGTTTACCAACCAGTAGGATATACTGAATATTTAAAAAATGGATATTGCCATACTAGTGTGTACTGGCTAAAAAATCAGGCCTATGTATCTTACAGCACAAGGTCAGGCACAAATTAGGTAATCGGTATTAATGAATGAATGAATAGCAGTTTCAGCAGGTGATAAAGTACCTTCAAGTCTAATAATCTATAATTTTCCTGAGCTTCATTTTCCTTACCTAAAAAACAGGGAAAATACCAACTATCTTTCTATATTACACTCAATTAAAAGAGCACATGAGGTAACCTGTGCATACATCTCTGAAAAAAAAAGCCAATTTGCCCACTGGTGACATGAAAAAGAAGGGTCGATATTAAACAAACAAAAGCCATGGGTATTTAAGAAATTATGTGTGTATTAACTTCAAAAGCATACCTTTGTTAGCCATTGACAGAAAATAAGGAAGAAAATAAACAAAATTTTAGACACATTCACACATAAACCAAGATAAGCAAACTACATTTTGAGATTAAACACCTATATTTCATTTTTTAACCAAAAGATTGTTTGCAAGAAATTATTTTAATTCACCAGAGATTTTCAACTGCTAAATAAATAAAGTCCATATGTAAAAGAAACAGAAGTTATTCCAACCAAGTTGCATAATATTATGCTGATTCATTCATATATCCTATGCCATCTAAAATTCTAGGCTGTATTATCCTCTACTGAATAAATTCTAGCTCAAATGTGGATTAAAAGTATAACTCCCCAGAATGAAATCACAATTTACTCTTTTATATACAACTAGTCTGGCAAATTAGCTACCTGACCTTTTAAATTCCCTTAAGTATCATTCTTACCTGGAAATTAGATTGAAATACACAGCAGTCAACACTTTTATAATGTCCCTTAAGCATAGTTATCTGTTCTCCTGAGTAAACTGTATAAACAGCAATGGTGCTACCATATGGTACAAAAACAAATTCTGAACTGCAGCCACAGGAGACAGTGAATTTCAATCCTTTTCTACTGTCATTATAAACTTTTCCATAATTCACCTGTAGGAATAAAATTATAAAGTTATATCTTATATCTGAATTAAAAAGACAACAAAGACCAGGAGAAATACTTCAAATATTTTACTACAAAAAGAGATCTTTTAAATTTAAGGAAAATGATCAGTGTCTTAATAGAAACAAGGGCCAATGACATGAATGTACATTTCACATAAAAGGAAATACAAATAGTAAAAAAAACCTACAAGGGCACATATTTACATTTCAACCCTAATAGAAATAAATATGCAGATTAAGACAACCGTGAGTCATTTTAGACCACTTAGCAAAAATTTTAAGAAATATAAGACATTCAATATTGGTACAAGTGAGGTAAACATGTTGGTGGCACTGTAATTTGGTTATTTCTTCTAAAAGGCCAATGGTTTATTATGCTACCATTCTTTTCAAAAGAATGATGTTCTTTTGTTTGGTGGGTAATATAACCTTCTATTCTTTTTATTTAAAAAAATTTTTAATCTTAACCATTTCTAAATGTATAGTTCAGTAGCATTAAGTACATTTACATTGTTATACAATCATCACCACCATCCATCTCTAGAACTCTTTTTATCTTGCAAAATTGTACCCATTGAACAACAAAGATATTCTTACTCCTTGACCTAGTAATTACTCCTGGGAATTTACTTTAAGGAAATAATTAAATAGCAAAAAGCTATATGCGCAGAGGTACTGAATGCAGCATTATCTAGAATGAAGAAATGGGCCAGGTGTGGTGGCTCATGCCTTTAATCCTAGTACTCTGGCAGGCTGAAGCGGGAGGATTGCTTGAGCTCAGGAGTTCAAGACCAGCCTGAGAAAGAGTGAGACCCCATCTCTATTAAAAATAGAAAAATTAGCTGGGTATCATGGTGCGGCCTGTAGTCCCAGCTACTCAGGAGGATGAGGCAGGAGGATTGCTTAAGCACAGGAATTTGAGGTTGCAATGAGCTATGATGATGCCACTGCTCTCTACCTAGGGCCACAGAGGGAGACTCTGTCTCAAAAAAAAAAAAAAAAAGAGAAACGACTGAGAATAGATGCATATTCCTAATAATGTTATAGTAACTCTATGGTTTATATAAATCATAACTATGAAAATTATGCAGAAAACAGGGATAGCATAAAGGCTAAATGTAAAAATGTATAGAATGTAAGTAGTGTGTACCTCAAGGAACTAGAAAAACAGGAACAAAATAAACCCAAAATTAGTAGAAGGAAGGAAATAATAAAGATCAGAACAGAAATAAAGACTAGAAAAATGATACAAAAGATAAACAAAACAAAGAGTTGCTTTTTGAAAAGATAAACAAAATCAACAAACCTTTAGCTGGACTAAAAAAAAAAAAGAGAAGACTCAAATAAATAAAATCAGAGATAAAAAAGGAGACATTACAACTAATATCACAGAAATAGAGGATTGTAAGAGAACAGAATTATGCTAACAAATTGGATAACCTAGAGAAATGGATAAATTCTTGGACACATACAACCTACTAAGTTTGAATTATGAAGACAGAAAATCTAAGCAGACCAATAACGAGTAAGGAGACTGAATCAGTAATAAAGAATTTTCCATCAAAGAGAAGTCCAAAAGTGAATGGCTTTATTGCTGAATTCTACAAAATATTTAAAGAGCTAATACAAATTCTTCTCAAAATCTTCCAAAAAATTAAAGAGGAAGGAATACTTCCAAACTCATTCTACAAGGCTAGCATTACCTTGATACGAAAATCACACGAGGAAAACAAAATAAGAAAATTACATGCCAATATCCATGACGAACATAAATGCCAAAATCCTCAACAAAATATTAGCAAACTGAGTTCAACAATGTATTAAAAAGATCATTCACTATGATAAAGTGGGAATCATCCCACCAGGGATGCAAGGATTGTTCAACATAAGCAAATGAATACATGTGATATATCACATTAACAAAATGAAGGACAAAATCCATATGATCATTTCAATAATTCAACATTCTTTCATGATAAAAACTCTCAACTAATTAGGTATAGAAGGAATGCACCTAAATATTATAAAGGCCATATATGAGAAACCCACAGCTAACATCATTCTGAATGAGGAAAAGTTGTAAGCTTTTCCTCTAAGTTTTGCAACAAGAAAAGGATGCCCACTCTTGCCACATCTATTCAACATAGTACTGGAAGTCTAAACAAGAGTAGTTAGACAATAGAAAGAAATAAAAGGCATCCAAATAGGAAAGGAAGAAGTTAAACTGTCCCTGTTAACAGATGACCTGATCTTTATTTTTTTTATTTTAATTTTATTTATTTATTTATTTTGAGACAGGGTCTTGCTCTATTGTCCTGGGCTAGAGTAAAGTGGCATCATCATAGCTCATTGCAACCTCTAACTCCTGGGCTGGAGTGATCCTCCTGCCTCAGCCTCCTAAGTAGCTAGGACTACAGACGCACACCACCACACCCAGTTAATTTTTCTACTTTTTGTAGAAACAGGGTTTTGCTTTTGCTCAGGCTGGTCTCAAACTCCTGGCCTCAAGTGATCTGCCTGCCTTGGCCTCCCAAAGTGCTAGGATTACAGGCATGAGCCACTGTGCCTGGCCAGATGACATAATTTCATATAGAGAAAACCCTAAAGACTTCACCAAAAAACTGTTAGAACTAGTAAATGAATTCAGTAAAGTTTCAGGATACAAAATCAATATACGAAAATCAATAGCATTTTTACATACTAACAGCAAACTATCTGAAAAAGAAATCAAGAAAACAATCCCATTTACAATGGCTATGAAAAAATAAAATACTTAGGAATAAATTTAACCAAAGAGGTAAAAGATCTCTACACTGAAAACTATAAAACACTGATGAAAGAAACTGAAGAATACACAAATAGAAAGATATCTGTGTTGATAGATTGAAAGAATTAATATTGTTAAAATGTTCATACCATTTGAAGCAATAGATAGATTCAATGCAATCTCTATTAAAATACAAATGATATTCTTCATAGAAATAGAGAAAACAATCCTAAAATTAACATGAAATTACAAAAAACCCTGAACAGCAAAAGCAATCTTCAGCAAAAAGAGGAAAGCTGGAGGGATCACACTACCTGACTTGAAAATATACCACAAAGCTGTAGTAACCAAAACAGCATGATACTGGCATAAAACAGACATGTAGACCAATAGAACAGAGTAGAGACCCCAGAAATAAATCCACCCATTTTCAGTCAATTGATTTTTCACAAGGATGCCAAGAATACACAGTGGGGAAAGGATAGTTTCTTCAAAAACGGTGCTGGGAAAACTGGATATCCAAAGGCCGAAGAATAAAATTAGATCCTATCTCTTACTATATACAAAAAGCAACTCCAAATGCACTAAAGACTTAAATTTAAGACCTGAAATTATGAAACTACTAGAACAAAATATAGAGGAAAACCTCTATGACATTGGTGTAGGCAATGATTTTTTGCATATGTCCTAAAAAGCAGACAACAAAAGCAAAAATCGACTAATAGGATTACATCAAACTAAAAAGCTTTTGCACAGCTAAGGAAACAATCATCAGAATGAAGAGACAACCTATAGAATGGGGAAAATATTTGTAAACTATACATCTCACAAGGGGTTAATATGCAAAATATATAAGGTACTCAAACAACTGAACAGCAAGAAAACAAACCAATTAAAAAATGGGCAAAAGACTTGAATAGTCATTTCTCAAAAGACTTACAAATGGCCAAAAAATGTGTGAAAAAATGCTCAATATCAATAATCATCAAGGAAATGTAAATCAAAACCACAATAAAGATATCACCTCACACCTGTCTGAATGGCTATTATCAATAAGATAATATTATAAGAAAAAATTTCTGCCAAATATAATTTTTTTCCAGCAAGGAAGCTGTGCCATCAAATTCAATTAAGTGTGTAGTTTAACATTAAAATTTTCAATTAAGTGTCTTTCATGCATCTTATCAATAAGACAAAAGATAAGTGTTGGTGAGGATGTGGAGAAAAGGGAATGCTTGCATGCTGTTGGTGGGAATGTAAAATTTGTACAGCCATTATGGAAAATGGTATGGAGGTTCCTCAAATAACTAAAAATAGATCTACCATATGATTTAGTAATATCACTACTGGGTATTTGTTCAAAGAAAAGTAAATCAGTATATCAAAGAGATACCTGCACACCCATGTTCCTCTGTGCATCATTCACAATGGCCAAGGTATAGAATCAACCTAAATGTCCATCAAAAGATGAATGGATGAAGAAAATGTGGTATACATACTAACTGGAATACTATCCAGCTATAAAAAATAAGGAAATCCTATCATTTGCAACAACATTGATGAACATGGAGGGTACTATGTTAAGTGAAATAAGTCAGACACTGAAAGATAAATACTACATGATCTCATTCATACGTAGAATCTAAAAAAGTTGATCTTGTAGAAGTAGAGAATAGAATGGTGGTTACCAGAGGCTGGGATGGTTAGGGGGAATAGGGATATGGGGAGATGCTGGTCAAAGGATACATAATTACAGTTACATAGAAGGAGTAAGTTCAAGAAATCCGTTATACAGCATAGTGATTATAGTACAATATACTGTATTCTTGAAAAATGCAAAGAGAATGAATGTTAAGTGTTCTTACCACAAAAATGATAACTGTGAGATAATATATTTGTTGATTAGCTAGATTTAACCATTCTACAATGTATATATATTTCAAAACATCATGTTGTACATGATAAATGTATATAGTTTTATCTGTCTCAAATTTAAAAAAAGAAATTACTAAATGGCAGGACTGGAATTTGTTCTGAAAGCTCTTTAAAAATTTGAAGACAGTGTGTTTCCCTGTAGATCAATGTCTCAAATTCCTCTAAGTATCTTTTGTAGGTCAGTTTCTGGGATAACCTAATCATTTTGCATGAATTATTTTGATCAAGTCCTATTTAAAATGTATTATCCATTTTCAACACACTATTCTAGATATGGGTTTACTAGCAAAAAGCCATAGGGCATGAGTATCATCTTCAAGGAGAGAAAAATGGAATAAAACCACATTAATGATTTATATATACATTCAGTACCATTTATATTTGTCACACTAAGCTTTGACACACATGTCTGGATACTTTTTTAGAGTGATCCTGTCACTTCTCTACTTGGAAGCCTTTACTTGCTTTCCATCTCACGCAGAGAAAAGCTAAAACTCTTGCAAAGAACTACAAAGCCTACATGCTCTGGCATATTCCTTCTGTTCTCATCTTCTGTTACTCTCCACAAATTCCAACACAAGAATCTCCTAGCTATTCCTTGAGTATCTCAGGCATGCTCGCACCTCAGGGACTTTGTATGTTTTTCCTATCTCTGCCTAGAATGCTCTCCCTCCCAAATAACTGATGGGTTACTCCTCCATTTCCTTCAGGCCAAATATCACCTTCTCAGTGATGTCTACCCTGACTACCCTATGTAAAACAGCAACTCCATTTTCCCAATACTTCCTATGCTCCTTTCTTTGCTTTGCTTTTCTTTATAGCGCTGACCCAGTCTTACATATAATTTATCCATATGTCCATCTATTGACTGATCGATGTCTTTCGTCCTCTCCATGGAATGTAAGCTCGATGAGGATAGGATGTTTCTATGTTTTGCCCACTACTGTCTAATACTGCCTGGCAAATAGGAAGTGCTCAATAAGTATTTACTAAACAAATGAATAAAATGAGAAAAGGAAGATGCAACCTGATGAGGAACTTGTTACAATATGATGAATGGAAGATTCTAAATTGTATTTCACAATGCTTCAGTTTCAATCCTGAGACATGACAAAGAAGCATCTCTTTAAAAAAAATGAGGGATTAGCAAACTCCAAAGTAATCTAAACAATTTTGACTTTATATTAATATTAGTATTAATATTGAAAGTGACACCTAGACTATCTCAGAAGTAATTATAACATTAGCTAGAAAGATGATTAAAGAAAGGACTATGATTAATATTAATACTATATGAATGCTTTAAGGGATCTGGGTAAAATCATTACAGTAAGACTGGAATCTAGAGTCAAACTCTGTTGCTTTCTAGTTATGTAAACTCAGGCAAGTTACCTAATCATTTTATATCTCACTTTCCTCATGTATAAAATGGGTATTAAAACAGTAACTATTGTCATAGTGTTGATATGTTGATTAAATAAAACAATATATGTTCCAGCACTTACATTAAATGGTAATTATTATTAGCACAGTATCTAGCACATAAGCTCTCAATAAATATTAGCTATTATCATTATAATCAAATTATAAACTTTTGGTAATTTATTCTGAAAGTTACTAAACCATAGGTCCACCTGGTAAGGACTGTAACACGTATAAAAACAAGTACTGGAAATTAATTGCCACATAAGAATCTACTACCTTCAAAACATATTTATTCCAGTAGTATTAAATTACTACATATTCTAGGGTTAATACTATAAAATTCATTGTGGATTTTATTTACAGGTCATATACAGTACAGGCTGAGTATACCTTATACAAAGTGATTAGGACCAGAAGTATTTTGGATTTCAGATTTTAGAATATTTGCCTTATTGGTTGAACATCTCTAATCTGAAAATCTGAAATCTGAAAAGCTCCAATGAGCATTTCCTTTGAGTATCATGTTGGTGCTCAGAAAGTTTTGGATTTTGGAGCATTTTGGATTATGGATACTCCACTTGTATAAAATTTGACTATTTAGCTTTATAACTTTATAACAGTAATTCTCAATCTTTTATTCTTCTCCAACATACTTGAGAGATATGGCATATTCCCACTAGGAACAGTGGCTTTGTAGAACAGTGATTGTCTACTAAGTGGGGGGAATATGGCAAGGGGTGGTATGAGAGTGTGTTGTAAGAACTACTAGTTCACGCAGTAGAAAAAATTCTGTGATTTGAAGGCAAGAAATGGAGTTAAATCTATAGAAAAACATCAAGTATATGTCACAGATCCATTTCTTTAATTTATATCCAAAAATGTCACTTATAAATCTCTTACTAGTGTGTTTTCTCCATTGGAACTATTCCAGAGCCGCATTCGATTATCTGTGCCAACAGTCAGGAGGTGAAGCCCATCACTTGTAAAGCATAAGCCATTAACTTTCCCATTATGAGCAGTGTTTGCTGCAATAAAAAATACAGTTCAGTTTATCTGTTCCTGTATTCAGCATACATTTAATGTTTGATGATATAATTATTTAAACACATTAAAGGACAACTATTTGAGTTACTTAAAAAATATAAGTTGACTTCTTTCCTTTCCTTCCTTCCTTCCCTTCCCTTCCTCCCTGTCTTTCTTTCTTTTCCTCCCTCCCTCTTCCTCCCTTCCTTCCTTCCTTCCTCCCTCCCTCCCTCCCTCCCTCTCCTCTCTCTCTCTCTCTCTCTCTCTCTCTCTCTCTCTTTCTTTCTTTCTTTCTTTCTTTCTTTCTTTCTTTTGAGACAGGCTCTTCCTCTGTCACCCAGGCTGGAGTGCAGTGGCCCCAACACAGCTAACTGCAACCTGAAACTCTTGTATCCAAGTGATCCTACCATCACAGCCTTCTGAGTAGCTAGGACTCTAGATGATTAAAATTAACCAACCCTTTAGATAATTTGAATATGATATGCTACATAAATAAGAACTATAAAAACAGAGGAAAACAAGAAAACCAAAGGGAAAAAATTTCTGCCAAATATAATTTTTTTCCAGCAAGGAAGCTGTGCCATCAAATTCAATTAAGTGTGTAGTTTAACATTAAAATTTTCAATTAAGTGTCTTTCATGCATCTTATATAAAATAATCCAAATTTCTAATAATAATCCATTTCTAATCTAAAAATTATTCCATGGACTATTAAAAATCAACAATACTAGTATTTTCCATTAGAAAAACCTTAACAGGGAAAGGGTAACTGTTCTAGTCTCAATCAAAATTTATATCACTTTCAAAATTAACAAGTTTGCTGGGTACAGTAGCTCCCAGCACTTTGGGAGACCAAGGTGGCAGGATCACTTGAGGTCAGGAGTTCAAGACCAGCCTGGGCTACAGAGTGAGACCTTGTCTCAAACAAAAAGAAAATGAACAAGTTTGAGACAGCACAGTTCTTTTTCTTTTTTGAGATAGGATCTTGTTCTGTCACCCAGGCTAGAGTACAGTGGCATCACTATAGCTCAATGCCATCTCAAACTCCTGGGCTCAAGCGGCCCTCCTGACTCAGCTTCCTGAGTATCTGGGACTAAAGGCGTCCACCACCACACCCACCAAATTTTTTCTATTTTTGGTAGAGACGGGGTCTCACTCTTGCTCAGGCTGGTCTCAAACTCCTGACCTCAAGTGATCCTCCTGCCTTGGTCTCCCAGAGTGCTAGTATTATAGGTGAGAGCCACCATGCCCAGCCAGAAAGCATAGTCCTTAATAGCTTGATTAATTTAACTAAAAAAGATTGCTGATATAATCATAAGTCTTATATAGTTCATCCTATTTCTGATCCAGAATTTATTCTGAATCAAAATTTCTACACAGAAATTAAATTCTATTGTTAAAATGCAATTGAAGTACTTTGTCACCTAGATTGCAGCTGACTTACATGTAACACAACTTTATGCTGATACAATGGCTACAAAATGTTATTATTTCAGTAATTTATTGTGGCTTTCTAAAAGGCATTGAATTTGTACAAGTTGGCCTCATTGGAGGAAAATCAAATTCAGTAAAGCAATTAATCCCGAAAAGTTTCTACCTTTGAAAATTTGGGGGCAAATGAAACCGCCATACTTATTTGTACCTTGAAGAAAGATAACCAGTTTCTGTAAATTTAGAAAGTGATTTATGGTAAATATCTTTTTAACAAAATGATAAAGTTTGTAATTTATTAATATGCATTTATTAGCTTCAATTAAAAATTTTCAATGTAAAGAAAAACTAACATTGTCATATTTCTATATTAATACATTCTTCATTACCTGATTCAACAGCTTGTGATTTTTTCCCATTATGCTGATCAAGAGTAATCAAACATCCTGATGCTCTCCTCACATCCCATAATTTTACTCTACTGTCAGCACTGAGAAGAAATAAATTTCAAATTGACATATGTAGCTAGGATACTGACTATACCCCTCACCCACCTTTCCAGTATTATGGCACACATAATACTGGAATTATATTGTATCTCATTATATTAGTGCAAATGTATTTGTACATTTGGTCTGTTGTACTTTTGCCTTTTTAGCAAATATTCAATAGTCAACAGTAACAAAGAGAAGTGAATAAATAGCAAAAAATAGGAGAAAAAGGAGTAAGCTTTATTTTTCAGATCACAAGGACAAAATTCTTCTGGTTATATTGTTTTTAATTACATGAGCATCTTCCTTCCAAAGGACTAGACAGGCTTGTAGCTTGTTTCTAGCAAGTTTGTTACTACATCTTTTCTATTATTCAAATCCTATCAAGACAATAAAGCAGTTAACTAATTTCATTTTGTTTAAGAATCCGTTGGGCATGAATTTGGTGGTTTTTTATTTTATATTAAAAAACCTGAGAGGTGAATAATGAGGACAATATATTTCCATTTGGTTTCCTATACTTAAATCAATCTTTGCCAGATACATAATAACCATATTTAATGTCTACTAGAGATGAAACATTTATTTCCATTTTCTTTCAAGTAAGTGAAAAGAAGAAAGGCAAATCTATGATTACAGTCAATTTCAGCTTCTATGCTACTCCTAAAGAAAAATGCCTATGTGCCTCTAATCACTTCAACTGATGCTATCAAGTCTTTATAAAGACCTCAATGATATTCTAATCCACTGGGTTTATCCATGCCATTTTAATAAGAGAGAGCATTATATCACAATTTATAAGCCTATTTTTCATTTATGAGCCACAGAATTTACTGCTTTCTATAATCTTGATTCTTTTTACAGGTCAACATCAAACCAAGCCAACTGGAATAGTCAGCAAAAAGCTAGCATTTTCCATTCTTAGGTTGCATTTCTTTCTTTCTAGCTGAAGAAAATGTCTACAATGAAATAAATGTGAGGATTTAAGTTTCTTCGGAAACAGATTAGATTTGAACATAACCAACTCTTAACGCTGATTACTAGGTCCATTATGGAACTGATTCAAATTCCTGGGTGCACTTTGAGAATTGAAAGCCTTTTACCTTTCCTCTGATCTCAGGAAAACCAAGTATGAACAATATAAATCCACCCTAATACGGACCAACAACCAGCATTAACGCCTCGCTTTCATACCTCTTTAGCTAGCCAGTTTTCTTATGACTGTACTCTAGACCTTGCTGTACTTCGGAATTCATAAATTTCAACATCACGTTCTGCAAATTATTAACAGAAGTTCTTTGGGGACTAAAGTGTGACAGAGAGGGTGGGCTGGCAGCTTAAAATCCAGACACAGAACTTTACAAAACTAATATGAATCACTTTTGTAATAATTCTTCTATTAAAATCTTTATTAAAATGTTTATATAAAAATCTTTGACTACTACTTCCTGTCCCTTCAGTTTTTAAATTTTCTTACTCTGACACTTATACTTCTACCTCATTAGGTCCTTGATTCTCCCTACAAGCCTTTTTGTGATTTGATTTCCTTCCTAATACCTATGACTTCAACAATTTTCAGACAAGGTAAACAATAAAAATTATTAAATCTGTGTCATTTAATGTTTTGATTTCTGTGGCTTAGTTCAGCAGTGGTCTATACCTTCAACTAAGCACAAATGCCCAGCAATCCTATGTGTTCAATCTGTTATTCCAGATCCTTACTACCTTCCCTCAAAATTGTATTCCCATTCCTGTATTTTCAACAGATGACATCACGTCGACCAAAAACCAATAGAGGCCATTAGGTGTGCATTTCTTGAGCTTCTCTGCCAAAGTTACAAACTTAACTATACTCACTTTCACCATTTCCCCTTTCCATTAGTCTTACGTTATCCCTCATGTGTCAAATCAAGTGAACCCCTAGCCCCCTCAATCTAGACCCTTGATACTATCCCCTCCCGTCTATTCAAAGTCCTGATGCACTAATGATTCCCTCTTGTTCTTATTTTCACCTATTTCTCTCCCCTGGTACTTTCTCCCCAGTATATAAATGTGCAATACTCTTCGCACCAACAAACAAAACCCCCCAAATCTTTTGATCCTTGCAGAGTTAAATGCTTCTGTTTTCTTTTCCTATCTTACACCTACCAAAGATATACCTCTATTAAAGCATTTTTCAGGATGTCCTGTGATCACCGATTTTTCTGACTATATTCCTCATTAAACTGTTAGCTTTTTGAAGCCTTGGTTGCCTCTGTGTTCTTAGCACAATGCTTGGCACACGGTAGGCAGTCATTAAATATTAGTAAATTGCATCAGTGAATGGATGGATGTGTTATATCAGATTCAAAATAATTCTAGGTTAAAGAAAATGAATAAAAATGCCACTATTTTTAAATTAACACAGTGCTATACTTTTGTGTGCAAAAATGACACAACATGGTTGTCTCACTAGCAGTGTTTGCAGATCTGCATTATTACATTGATTCTCATGTTTTCTCTTTCTTCCAAAAGGTGAATACCTTCAAGATGGGTAGTTAGAATTAAGATTATGATGTAAAGGAGGAAGATTCATTTTGGTGATATAAACTAAAATCTCTAATTCAATATTTCATTTTTAAGGGGCTAATAACAAAATATGCTAAAATATATACCTTACATAAATGTAGTCTTTTCAAAATGCTTATTATTAATTATTAATATTAACTTCAAAACCAAATAAGTTAAATTTTACCTTGCAGTTGCCAAGATATAATCATAACGTGGTGACCAAGAAACTGCTAGTATTTCTTGCCTGTGACCTGCAAATACAACTGTATGAAAAGTCTTACAAAATGTTTGAAAAATCAAAAGTTAAAGTGCCAATAATTTGACCTGATTCTGAAGAAAGTGAGACTAAATATCAAAAGTGGATAACTATCATTTTTTCACATTTATAATAATCTATGTTTAAATGCTAATGTGAAGATTATGGGGGTATTTCTAACACATGGTATTTTATTTTAAAAGAACTGGTTTAGCTTTGGAAAGAATAGTCAGAAGAAGCGAATCTTTTTAAATATGGTTGTGTTAGCCTATGTCAGTCAATCCATATAATTCAAGCTCAATTACTTATCGCTACACCAAAAAGCCACTACAATAAAATACAAGATAAACATTTTAAAGAATATAAATACTTTCTAATTTCTCATAAAGCTATGTAACAGAAAAATTACTTTAATTCATGATTGTAAGAAAGCACTTGCATAAAAGTTTTTTTCTAAAAAGCATGGGTGACAAGTTCATAGGGTAAGTGACTTCAACATATTTCACTTTTACCTAACTGAACTATTTAAATCAGACATTTTCATTTGTCCAGTTTATATTAATAGAAATAATGTAAAAAATGCTACCCATCTCACCAAGTTTTTAAATATATTTATGTTTCTTAGAGATGAATAAAAATGTGTATTTCTAAATTACATTCCATCTTTTCATTGTTTAGAATTAGACAATCTAATACTGATAAAAGTAGCAAAAATAAAATACTTTTACAAAACAAAGTATTAGTTCAACATCTTTCTTTAATGTATTTTTACTGAAAATGCACCTAAATTTGTCAGAACATTAAACAATGCACGAGACATTAGTAGTTTATTTTTAAAAATGTAGAAATAACACAAGGATTTCAGTTAGACCTTCTATTTTCTATATCCTTTGAGCTTTCCCATGACCATTGTTCATGTACATGTCTCTTCAATGGTTCAGTTTTATTAAGAATAATGCACAGAAGGATCTTTATTTCCCTGTTGACTTTTAACAACTAGCACAAAATACATCAGTCATGTCCCTTACAAAGAATACATTGTTAGTAATGTTTCTTTTTATTGAATGGTTTACTCAAAGTAGTTGTTGTTTGAAATAAAAAAATACCCTGTAGAATGTGAGAACAGGATCCAGACTTTAAGTCACAAAGCTGTACTTTGGGTCCTCTAGTACCAACTGTAAAAACAAAAACAAATATGGTTTAAGATAACTATTATAAATCATCATCAAAAAGGAAATAAAATATTATCATTAAGAATCATAACATTTTCACTGTATCCATGCAGAAATATAAAAATATATGCCAAAAATATATTTCAAATCATTTTAAATGTTTATAATGGGAAAAATTATTTTAATTATAGTTACACTTTAGTAATAAGGGAACTCTATTATTGTAATATTTTTTATTTTGAAATAATTATATATTTTTAAGAAGTTGTAAACCTATTACAGAGAGGCCTGTGTACCCTTCAGCCAGGTTTCCCCAATGATTATATGTTAGGTAACTAAAATACAATATCAAAACCAAGAAATTCATATTGGTAAATGTATGTGCATAGTTCTATGCCATTTTATCACATCAAATCATTTTATTTTAATAGCTTAGTTTTTCCAAGTCAATGACCTACTTCCAATCACTAGTAACAGATTCACAGAAACTCTGGCTACAGACTGAGTGGACCTCAAAGACAACTCAGTGCCTAGCTCTTCTTTACAGATAAAGCAGCTGACTCATGTCCAGAGGTAAAGAGATTCATGCAGTGTCACAAAAATAATGGACTCACAGGGACTAGATATCTGATACTAGAAAATCATTTTTTCTTTTTTATATATGAAAATTTTTGTTGCAGGTGTTCTCATGTAAACAGATGTTTAATTTGAATCACAATCTTTTTTTTTTTTTTTTGACACAGAGTCTCACTCTGTTGCCCAGGCTAGAGTGCCATGGCGTCAGCCTAGCTCACAGCAACCTCAAACTCCTGGGCTCAAGCGATCCTTCTGCCTCAGCCTCCCAAGTAGCTGGGACTACAGGCATGCACCACCATGCCCGGCTAATTTTTTCTATATATTTTTAGCTGTCCAGCTAATTTCTTTCTATTTTCAGTAGAGACGGGGGTCTCACTTTTGCTCAGGCTGGTCTCAAACTCCTGACCTCGAGCGATCCTCCCGCCTCGGCCTCCCAGAGTGCTAGGATTACGCCCGGCCTGAATCACAATCTTAAAACGGAGGAAATAATTTCCTGTTTTATTGTGTCAAATTGGAAAAGTTGCCAAATTTTGTTCATGTAAAATCTTTGAAACTTTGATGGTTTAAAAGTAACTTCTTGGGGAACAGAAATACGCTCTTAATCTTTGCATCCTAGCCACTGGCAGAGTGCTCAACTTGCATATATCTGTTGAAATAAGTACTAATAGTAGCATATACTTGTTTTTGCTTCTTTTGTTAAAGAATTGTGATCTTCATCTGTGTTAAAATGTCTACATCAAAGCTAATGAGATATAAAAAGGCAGAAACTTTTCAGTACGTTAAAAGACAGAAGTATACACATACAAACCTGCTACCAAACAGTGCTTGGTGGCGACTGGAGACATATGATGACTATAAACTGTTTCCTCAAAATTAAATACATCTGCGGTCTGAGAACCAAAAGACATTTAAAAAGTGTAAGCTCTGGTTATAAAAATAAAGCAATAAATTTTCTATTTGCTTTTCTCCATATTTTTAGCAATTTTTAAGTTGACTGTTAGCAATTTAACTTAAACATAGGAATGTAATACCCCAAAAAACCCTGATAATTTCAAATCCTATGTTATTTATAACATTCTTCTCCCTTCAGTGAGAAAAAATAGTTTTTCTCTAATAAATTCCAGAAATTAAGAAAAGACAACCACCTGGTTCACCATCTTCCTCTCCATTCCACTCTGGGAGGCTTCAGCACCTACCTGGATGATCTAGCCAGCACTCGACCTCTCAGTTATATACCTCAGCTACCACGCCCAGGATGCACCACCTAGAATTGCTCCTCTTTTAAAATCATACATTTCCATATTCTATGACCACAAACTTCTAACATTTTCAGCCTTTTTTCCCAACTATTCTCAAGAAGTCCGAGTAAACCCCAGAACCCCACCCCTATAAGTTCCTTCTGTCCACTACTTTTCCTCTGCAGCTTGGATTCCAAGATCTAATACCAAGGTCAACTGCCAGTATCTTCAATTCCTTTGGCACTATCCTTTCACTTGTCAAGACCTCAACCCTGGCTGACTCCAAATGTCTGCCTTCTCTGCACTTATCCCCAGAATGATCTATACCAGGAGTTAGCAAACCTTTTCTGTAAAGAGTCAGATGGTAAATATTTTAGGCTTTTGAGACCAACTACTCATCTTTGCCATTGAAGTGTCAAAGCAGTCATAGACAGCAAATGAGCATGTCTGTGTTCAAACAACACTTTTCAAAAACAGGCCATGAGACACACTTGTCCACAGTCCAGACTTGTCCAATCCCTGCTCTACCTAGTTGAATAGGGCAGACTGGTGTCACTATAAAAGATCATACATTTCATCTGGGTTTTTGGTAATGACTGTCTACTATATTTCACTAGTCTTCTTTGCAATATTCTGCAGCTATTTCAAACCTTTTCCACTCTCCATAAACATCTTCACTCAGTCACAACAGGTGATCTGATCTTTCATTTCAAAGAGAAAACAGGGGTCACTCAATTAGAATTCCCTTACTGTCTTACCAACAAATCTACAAACACATTTGCTTCCACTTACCCTTTTTCCTTCTTTACTCCTGTTATTAGGGAAACATGATCCCTCCTCATTTTAAAGGTTAATTCCCCTACTTGTGTTCAGATCCCCTTCAGCGCTGTCAGAAATCTTACCCTTTAGATTATGTCCTGGGTATCTATAACTTCTCTCCCTACTGGCTCATTCCCAACAGCACTGAAAGTTCGGGTTTCTTTCATCTTAACAGCACCCTCTTCCCAAGACATAAAAACAAAAAGTCTTTTCACCCTACCTCTTCCCTAGGTAATCTTCTTTTCTCCTGTTCAAATCCAAATTCCTATCTTTAATTCCTGATTTCCCATGTTTTCTCAACTTCCTGCAATCTTATTTTTAATTCCACTTACTCTAATTCATATTTCTCTTTCAATATCATAGATAACCTCCTCATTTGTCAGTAGTATTCAACACATATTTCTTAAAACAATCTCTTTCACTGGCTTCCATTATATCATATATTCCTGATTTTCCTCTTACTCCTTTTCATTGTCTTTTGTGGGCTTTTTTGTTCCTTTTCCTGTCCTGTTAACTTTTGTCTTCTTTTGCATTTTGTTCTATGGATTCTTCTCTTCAACTGGCACCCACATATTCCAGGTTGAGTGTCCTTTATCAGAAATGTTTGGGACCACAAATGTTTCAGATTTCAGAATTTTTTTTTTAGATTTGGGAACATTTACCTTATATTTACTGGTTGAGCATCCCAAATCTGAAATCCAAAATGCTCAATGAGCATTTCCTTGTGTACTATGTTGGCACTAAAAAGTTTCGTATTTTGAAGCATTTTGGATTTTGGATTTTCAGATTAGGGATACTCAATCTGCAGTAAAGCACAAATCTGTATTTTCAGTGTAGACTTCACTTCTGAATTCCAGATATGTATAGCTCAATTCCTGGATTATCTCCATTTGGATTTCTTGTAAACCCCTCAAATATAACAAATCTAAAATTGAACTCATTACTCACTCCCTTTCCGTACCTTAGTATAATCCACCCAATTCCCAAGCCAGAGAACCTGAAGTGCTTTTTTTTTTTTTTTTTTAAAGAATGGCTTTGTTGAGATGTAAGTCACAAACCATACAATTCAGCCATTTAAAGTGTGCACTTAAATGGCTTTCAGTGTATCCACAGAGTTCTGCAAACATCACCGCAATAAATTTTTGAACATTTTCATCACCCAAAAAGAAGCCCCATAACCACTAGTGGTCACTCCCCATTTATCCCGACCCTCTGCCCTAGGCAACCACTAATCAATTTTCTGTCTCTATAGATTTGCTGATTCTTGATATTTCCTATAAATGGAATTATACATTATGTTGTTTTTTGTAGTTTTTCATTTAGCATGTTTTCGAGGTTCATCCATGTGGAGGCTCATGCTTGTAATCCTAGCACTCGGGGAGGCCAAGGCGGGAGGATCACTTGAGCCCAGGAGTTTGAGGCTGCAGTGAGCTATGACTGTGCCACTGCACTCCAGCATGGGCGACAGAGTAAGACCCTGTTTCAAAAAACAAAACAAAACAAAAAAACAATTCTTGGATACCGACATCAGGATTTTCTAAATAATGTTCCATATACAAAATTTTAAGAAAACTCAGAATGAGAGAAAAGCTGCTCTCCACCTTAAAGTTTAATAGGAAAGATTCCAAAGTAGATATTCCTCTAAACCATACCATATGTTCAGTATAAGAACATGTTAATGAAAAACTTAGATGAAGTAAAGATATGATAGGTATGTAATATGTACATTAATAGGAAAAATCAGTGACAGGGTAGAAAACGGGGAGAAGGGCATTTTGTGCCTTCCTTATTTTCTTTATACCTAGGAGATGCACAATAAATTATTTCTTGCTGAAACTTTTCAAAGTTCTTATTAATAAAATGTTCTATCATACTTTTACTTCGAATAGAATTGTGGACTCATGGAATACTATTCTGAGTTAGCAAAACATTTATGTTCTAAAGAAAATTTAAATTCAAAATGTCTTTTGTTAGGGTTTTAAAAGAAGTCAATATTAAGGAATGAAAATTCAAATGTACGGCTTATTAATTTTTAAACCATACTTTTAACTGTAGTATAAACAAACATACAGGAAAGTACACAAATCATTAAGTGTGTAGCTCAATGAATTTTCACAAAGTGAACATACCCATGTAACCATCACCTGTATTATAAAACAGAACATCGGGAACACCCCAGAAGGTTCCCTAGAACCCTTTCAGTTACAACCCCTGCCAATAAAGATAACTACCATTTAGATCTCTATCACCATGGATTAGTTTGCCTATTTTTGAATCTCCTATAAAGGGAATCATATATTAGGCACTCTTACGTCTACTTTACTACGTCTAATGTTATGTTTGTAAGATTCATACATTTTGTTGCACAATTAAGTAAATCTTCCCTCATCTTTGCTGAGATAGTATTCCAATGTAAAATTTGCCAGACTTCATTAAACTGTTAATGAATGTTTTGGTTGTTTACAGTTTTGTTTATAATGACCAGTGCTTCTATGAACACTCTAGTACATGCCTTTTGTGCACATATATATTCATTTATACACTCAAGTGAATAATTACTGGATCACGGGGCAAGCACATATTTGGTACCAAGTTAATGATACCAAGTACCTGCTTCAACTTATAATCCAATCAGCAATATATGCACTTGTTACTGTTATCCTTATCTGCCTTCATTTTAGCCATTCTGCAGAATGTACAGAGATATCTCATTGCAGAGTTATTTAACATTTCCAGGTGCTCAGTTAATTGAATGAAAAGTTGAATACTTTTCATTTATTTATTGGCCATTTGGATATTCTTTTCTCTAAAGTGCCTGTTCAAGTGCTTTCCCTATTTTTCTATAGGGTGATCAGTCTTTCAATATTTTTGGTTATTTAGATACTGTGTATTAAGTTCTTTTTCAGATATATGCATATGTTGGATATACCGTCTCCCACTCCATGGCTTCTTTTCACTTTGTCTCTGTGAATGACAGTTTAAATGCTTCCTTTCCAATTCCTATGCCTTTTAATTCCTTTGTTTGCTTTAATGCATTGACTAGAGCTTCCAGTACAATGTTGAATACAAGGAATAACAGAGATAATTAAAAGGGAAAGCTTTCAACATTTTTACCAGCAAATACTTCTTTACTTGTAAAAAAAAAAAAAAAAACCAGATACTCCTTATCAAATTAAGGAATTTCTCTTCTATTCCTAGTCTGTAAAAAATTTTAAAAATCATGAATGGGTATTGACTTTTATTTAAAATTTTTTCATATGTATTGAGATAATGATGCAGTTTTTCTCCATCATTCTATTAACATGATGAATTACATTGATTTTTAGATGTTAAAACAACCTTGTTTTCTAAAATAAGTCCTGTTCACTTGTGATACATTGTTCTTTTTGTGTATTGCTAGACTCTATTTACTAAGAGTCTGCTTAGGATTTTCGTATCTATAGTTGTAAGAGACACTGGCCTGTAATTTTTCTTCTAACATTCTTATAAGTTTTGGAATAAAGGATATGCTAGTTTCACAAAATTAGTTTACAAATGTTCCTTTTTTCCTCTTTTATTCTCTTGAAGTGTTTAAGATTGGTATTTCTTTTTTAAATGTTTAGAATAATTTATTGTTAAAGGCATCTAGGCCGGGAGATGTCAATCTATTTCTATTTTTTTTTCTGTTAGGCTGTTTCTTGGTATGTTTGGTAGTTTTTGATTGAGTGCTAAAAATTATGTAGGAAAAACTGGGAGAGGTTCTATATGATGATATCTTCCTCTAGAGAAGATCTATCTTTGACAGGTAGGAGAGGGGCAGATCATCTCAATTCAGTCATGAAGTAAGCTAACACAAAGCTTGTTTGCTATCTTTGTAGAGTTCTGTAATGATTTTCTATTGATGAAGTAAGGAATGATCGCAAACAGTAATTTATAATGCAAATTTATTATCTTGTAGTTCTATAGGTTAAAAGTTTCACACAGGTCTCACTGGACTACAATCAAGGTGCTGGCAGGGCTGCATTCTTTCCTGGAGGCTCCAGGAGAAAATCCTTTCCTTTGCTTTTTCCAACTTCTAGAGGCCTCCCCCATTCCTTGGCTGGTGGTCCCCTGCATCTGTCTTCAAAACCAGCAATTTTAAATTTCTCTGATCATTCTTCCAGTCACATTTCCTTCTGCCTCTTTTCTTCTGCCTCCCATTTCCATTTTTTAAGACCCCTGTGATTACATTGCACCCACAAGGATAATCTCCTTATTTTGAGGTCAGGTGAATGAATAGCAACTGTGATTGCCCTTTGCCATGTAACCTAACATATTCACAGGTACTGGAGATTAGGACACAGACATCTTGGGGGAAGGCAGGTATTATTCTGCCTACCACAGGCTCCATCTACCTCTTATTTTTACCCATTCTTAGGGTATATCTCTCCAGGTGCCCTAATAGCCTAGGCTTTTTTCTAGGCTCCCTCATATATACCAAGTACTATACTGCAAATTTTCTCTCCAGTATGAAGTGACTGGGAAAAATTCTGCTGTTTTTCAGATGTTTTCTGCTTCATTTCTTAGTCTGTGGTCTTGCATAGCTTGATCAGCAAATGCCTCAAGGGGAAGACCAGTGCCAAGTTGTTAGGCTAATTTCTCTCCATCTCTCTTCTTTCTGTGATCTTGACCCCTTAATTTCTGGCTGTCTTGGCACACCCACCCTCCACTTTCTGTCTCTGCAGCTTTGTGAAATTGACTAAAATTCCACTTGTTTCTCTGCCTCTTAAAACTATTCAATACCTGCCTTTTTAGTCTCTTGCCCTACATTAAGAAATGGCAAATGTCCAAAGGGAAAAAGAGCACATGTAAAGTTGAATTCACTTCTGAAAACTTTTCTTCTCTCTAGGATCTTGCTTCTTAAGTCCTAGATTCCTTGGCAGCTTTCCAAAACTGTCAACTAGATCTTGTTTATGCTTCAACTACCTTTTCTCAATGGAGGTGTTGGTTTGGCTACAAGATACTCCATCATTGTCATAAGTAGAAGTTCATGACATTCATTTAATCCTTAAAATATATTCTCATTTTCAAATGACATGTATTTTATTTCATTTTATTTTTTTACAGAGTCTCACTCTGCTACCCAGGCTGGAGTGCAATGGCATGATCCTAGCTCACTGTAGCATTGAACTCCTGGGCTCAAGCAATCCTCCTGCCTCAGCCTCACAAGTAGCTGGGACTATGGGCACGTGCTACCAGGCCTTGCTAATTTTCTTGTTTTTTGTAGAGACAAGGTCTTGCTATATTGTCCAAGCTGGTCTTGAACTCTTGACCCCAAACGATCCTCCTACCTCGGCTTCCCAAAGTGCTGGGATTGTAGACATGAGCTACTACACCCAGGCTCTCATCCTTAAAGTACTTATTCAGTAGTTATTATACTACACACAGCACTGAATTTAATAATGTCTAAAACATAGTCCTTTCCTTAGGGAAGTAACAATCTAGAAAAACAGATAATACATATAAGTATGAAAGTGATATTATAAAATACTGTAAGAATGGGTTGAAATAAGAATACAGAAAACAGTGCTATAATGTTAAAAAATAAAAGGATGGTTAATACGCACTGAAGAACCTGAAATCATTGATTGTGTGATAAAACTGAAAGGGACCTTAGACATCATCTAGTCTGACACTTTTATTTTATAGCTAGAGATCTTTGCTAATAAATTAAATGACTTACCTAAAGTAACACATCAATAAGTAGCAGAATGGAACTAGAACTCTGCCATCGTGATTCTTGGTTTAATGTAATTATAGAAAGAGAACTCACCTTAAGACAAAGGAAAAGTTGCCCAAGGAAAAGAACTCAAGGTAGGGAATACAACACAAGCAAGATATGATCAACAGGCAAAAGGAGATCAATTTAGTTGCAGCCAATCATTTGTGTTGAAAAGAGGTAGAAAATAGGGTTGAGGGAATAGGGGGTGAAATTATGGAGAACTTAGAATGCGAGGCTGAGTTTAGACAATGGGAATCCCTAGAGATTTTGGGTAGAGACGTGAAGAAACTGCTCTGTAATAAGTATAGGTTATTAAGTATGGAATATCTGATTTCCTTAAGTACTAAGTTTGACACTTGATATCTCTGACATTTCACTATGACACTTCTTGTTTTTTTCTTTTTCTTTTTTTTTTTTTGAGACAGAGTCTTGCTCTGTTGCCAGGGTTAGAGTGCCGTGGCGTCAGCCTAGCTCACAGCAACCTCAAATTCTTGGGCTCAAGCCAATCCTCCTGCCTCAGCCTCTTGAGTAGCTGGGACTACAGGCATGTACCAACACGCCTGGCTAATTTTTTCTACTTTTAGTAGCAACAGGGTCTTGCTCTTGCTCAGGCTAGTCTCAAACTCCTGATCTCAAGCCATCCTCCTGCCTTGGCCTCCCAGAATGCTAGGATTACAGGCATGAGCCACCGCACCCAGCCTCTTGTTTGTTTTTTTTCAGTTGTGAAGGTACATCCTCATCCTTTCAAATGTACATTTTGGCTTGTGATTACCTTCCAAATTTTTTTTTTACAGCAACTTTTGTGAAACCCTGGATAAACCAAAAATTTGTGGTATTTTCGAACATGAGTTCTGTTGTAGAACCAATGCAGTGCAGACAGCTAGAAATATCACCAAAGTGTTTGGGAAGGATGTGGCTAATGAATGCACAGTATGTCCATGGTTTGAGAAGTTCTGTTCTGATGATTTTAATCTTGAAAATGAGCCACATAGATGACCTGAGACCAAGGTGGATAATGAGGAACTAAAAGCTGTAGTGGAAGTGAATCCATCTCAACCTATCTGTGAATTAGCAGCAAGGTTTGATGTTACTATTCCAACAACATTGGAGCATTTGAAACAAATGGGAAAGGTAAAGAAGCTGGATAGTTGGGTACCACATGAATTAAATGAGCCATCAGAAGACAAATCGTCTTGAAGCTTTCCTTCCTCTGCTGTAGTGATGTAAAAGTGAACTATTTCTACACCATATTGTTACATATGATGAGAAATGGATTCTGTTTGACAATCACAAGCATTTGACACAACGGTTAGATAAACATGAAGTGCCAAAACACAGTCCATAACTGAATACTAATCCAAAAAAGCTAATGGTGTCTGTTTGGTGGTCCAGCACTGCTATTATCCACTACAGCTTCATGAAACCTGGTCAGTCCATTACAGTGGATGTCTACTGCAACCAGTTAGACAAAATGATGAGGATGCTTGTGATTAAGCAGCCAAGATTGGTCAATAGAGATAGGCCAATCCTCTTGCAAGAACACATGTCACAAAAAACAATGCTAATCAAACTACAGAAGCTGGATTTGGAAACTCTCCATCATTCACTGTATTCACCAGACCTTGTACCAACTGACTACTACTTTTTCCAGGCTTTGGACCATGCTTGCAAGGAAAAATATTCAATTCTCAACGAGCTGTGGAAAATACTTTTCGAGATTTCATTGCCATTCGCTCTCCAGGCTTCTTCACTGCTGGCATAAACAAGCCACCATTAAGATGGCAAAACTGTGTCGATAGTTTAGGCACATACTTCAGTTAATTGTACTGCTTCTTATTTGAGATATAGTAAACTAAACTTTTGATTCAAAATCAGACATTTCATGTTTAATGACCTAATAGAACTTACCATAGAAAATGTAGAAGGAAAGTAAGACAGGAAAACCAGTTAGGATTTTTCAGCAGCCTAGATGTGCAGTGATGGTGAGGGAAGTAGGAAAGAGAAGTATGAAAGTGTTTGAAGGAAGAATTTCTAAGATTTTATGACTAAATGGATATGAGGTCTGATTATGTTCAGTTTGGAACATGTTAAGTTTGAAAGGATGACACTACATTTAAGTAGAAAGAAATATGGGAGACAAGTAGAAAAATATGGGAGTAGAGCTCAGGGAAAAGACTAGCACTAGAAATTTAAATTTTTTTTTTTTTTGAGACACAGTCTCACTCTGTTGCCTGGGTTACAGTGCCATGGCATCAGCCTAGCTCACAGCAACGTTAAACTCCTGGGCTCAGCGATCCTCCTGCCTCAGCCTCCCAAGTAGCTGGGAGTACTGGTATGCACTACCATGCCTGGCTATTTTTTTTTCTATTTTGAGTTGCCTGGCTAATTTTTTTCTCTTTTTAGTAGAGACAGGGGTCTCATTCTTGCTCAGGCTGGTCTTGAACTCCTGATATCAAGTGATCCTCCCATCTAGGCCTCCCAGAGTGGTAGGACTACAGGTGTGAGCCACCACACCCGGCCCTTAGAAATTTAAATTTGATCAAATATCATAAAAGCTATTATCTACTGCCTACCTTTACTAGGCTATAATAACTTTTTCCCTTTCAGTTTTTAGATCAACAGGAGATAAATCCAATTTTCTACCTTAGATCACTAGACCACAGTTTTCGAAAAGGGATAATAATATTGATAGCTAACATTTCTTGAGCATTTACTATATGCTAGGCACTGTACTAGGTATTTTACATATATCAGCTCATTTATCCCTCAAGAACATTTTATACAGTACAATCATTATTCCAATTTACAGATAAGGAAACTGAGATACAAAAGTTTGAACATTTATCCAATGTTACACTGCTAGTCAGCAGCAGAGCTAGGACATGAACTCAAGGAGTCTAGTTCTTCTTAACCAATATACTGCTTTCACATCTAACATATATGATATCTTAGCCAATAATCACACTAAAATGGTTTAGGATTAAGTTTTCCTTCATCTTACACTTTTGAAAGGTTTAATATACTTACTTGTAATGTATTTGTATCCCATACTTTCAGAGTTTTATCAAATGAGCTTGATGTGAACATGCCCGTGTCATGAGGGTACCACTGTACAGTCTCTACACTGTATTTGTGAACATCAGGATGGTCTCTACAAAACAGGAATCAAAATTTACAGGTAACTGACTTAAGGGGTTTCAAAACTGGTACTTTATTAAGAACAAGTAGCAGTCTCAGGTAGGATGATATGAATGGCCAAACCTAGATCACACGCCTCTGTCCTAGCTGCCCAGAAAGGTAGAGAGAATGTACAGGCATGACATTGTGATGTGGAGGTCTACTTCCTACTAAGGTTTCTCAGACCTATTTCTGTACTATATGCAGCCTGGAGGGATCAGCCAGCTACAACGGACTTCTTCCATCTTGGAGGAGGCAGGGATTTGTTCTTACTGGAAGAGATACCTATTTTGGTTTTAGATTTGCTTTTCCAAATTTGCTTATCCATTGATAGAACAGTATCATTCTATTAGCACCACCATTCTTAGAATTGTTGAATGCCTCACACACCTATATGGTACTCCACATAATGTTCCTTCTTATCAAGGAACTTATTCTATGGCTAAAGAATGCAATTGGTGGAGGCCTGTGGGATTCACGTCTTATGTAAGGCATTACCCACAGAAACATGACATGTTGAAGACTCTCAGTTATAATATCAGCTATAATACATCACTCTGTGAGGGTGGTGTGCTGTCCTGAAGGATGCAGCATATGCTTTGAACCAGTGATCAACATAGCATATATGTCACTGAGATAATGCTTGTGTTTTTACTTTCAATTTTCTCATGTATGAGGCATACACGATGCAAAAGAAATGAGAAGTGCTCAAATATCAGTATACTGCATGTTTTAATTATTATTATGTATGTGAGATAATCATACTGTGGTCATGCTTATAAAAAGTCTTTATCTTTTAGAGATATAATCAAATAATTATGGATAAAATGACATACTGTCTGTGATTTGCTTCAACATAATCCTCAGAGTGGATGGGTGAGGGGTAGAGATGAAATAAGATTGGTTATAACTGACAGTTCTTAAAGCTGGGTGACAAGGACACAGTTCATTATACTGCTCTTTACTTTTGTATATTTTAGAAATGTCCCATAATAAAATAAAAGCTAACAGGAGACTACTGCAATGCTATGCAGATATGACCATCATGGGTTCTGATTTCTTATAGGTTAACTGTACAATTGAGTTCACAAATTGCATAATACTGACACAGAATCACATAAAACTAGTGGAAAAATGAAAATTAGATTGAACTGGAGCTGGATGTGGTAACTAAACAGACTTACGATTATTACTCTTTGGGAAAAGGATGATCACTTTTTTGGCTGTTACGTGAACACTTGTATTAGGTTAGGCTGGATCATTTTTTAATATAAATGGAGGTATGGGAAGAAAGGTGTATATGGATGTTGGACAGCCAAACGGGTCAACTGAAATAGACACATGCCTTTTTCTTGGCTAATGAGCATTCATACTCCTCCTATTTCAGGGGGGAATCCCTTTTGTTTTATTGAAAAGCAGGGCCCTGCCTCTTGTTACAGAAAGCAAAGGACTCCAGGCATTCTCTTTTCCTCTTCCTTGGCAGCAAGGGAAAGGATATGTGTCCTGGGCTTAATTAATCCTGCTTGAGACTCCAATCTTGAGCTAGTAATGCAAACCCCAGGGAGAAGAAGTAGCCATTCTTCAAAGCTGTGGAGTTGAGAGTCTATGTTGGTGAAGCAGAACCCAAACTAAACTGTTCCTGTGATATGATCTTGATTGTGTTCTCTATCCTAGCTTCTCTTTTTTTCTGCTCATTTTTTAAGTCTCATTTTCCCATCTTCCTGACAGTTATGTGAGATACTAAATATCCTTCCAATAAGATATTTGCTTAAGATAAGCAGAACCAATTTCTATTTGCTCCTAAGAATCTTGACTTCTACAGAGATTTTTTTCCAGTAATATTACTTTTTTTTTTTGTTGTTGTTGTTGTTGTTGTTTTGAGACACAGTCTCGCTCTCTCACCCCAGCTACAGTGCAGCAGCAGCATCATAGCTCACTGCAACCTCAAACTCCTGGGCTCAAGTGATCCTCCTGCCTCAGCCTCCCGAAGAGCTGGGACTACAGGCATGCACCACAACGCCTGGCTAATTTTTTTCTATTTTTTGGTAGAGACAGGGTCTTACTCTTGCTCAGGCTGGTGTCAAACTCCTGACCTCAAGAAATCCTCCCACCTCAGCCTTCCAGAGTGCTAGGATTACAAGCATAAGCCACCAGGCACAGCCAGTGATTTTAGTTTTAAATAAAACAAATCTTTAACTCAGTGATCACAAATAAAAGCTCATTTATACTTTAAATTTTAAAATAGGACAAAATGTTATTTCATTCTCTTGTTATATATGTTCTGTTATTCACATTTAATAAGAATTTTGGTAGAGGAAAGGAATGTTTTTAGTGAAGAACACATTAAGTATACCAACAATAAATATCAGAAAATAGTCTAAAGCCATATTAACTTAATAACAGGTTTTATTGAAGCTATTTTTAAAAATTAGACTGTAAACTCTTCAGATGTAAAAATGCTATTATAATTCATTTTGTAAAGATGCCTACTATATGCCCATTTTCAAAATCAAAGTCACACTTTTAAAGATAGAGTTTGAATCCAAGAATAAAGTCAGTAAAACAAAAGACAGACACAGTAAGCATTTAGTTGTACATATCAAAAAACAAAAAAAAACCAAAAAAAACCAAAACAGATAACAGTCCCTCATGAAATAATATTATATAGCATATGGAACATGCAAAAATACAATTTTGCTGTATAACAAATTAAACTTAATGTTAAAATGTTAGCTAGGATAAAATAAAAAGGAATTAAATTAATTGACTGTCTTATACTTTAGAATTTAGACTTTTCTGTTTTTTTGGTGAGAGTGAGAAGAAAGTGTAAATGGCCTAAGCCTCTTAAAAAGTCAGAACATGTGAGGCAGTATCATGTTTTGTACTAAGTTTTCTTATAACTATGTTGCTTTCCCATTTACACAGTGGTTTTAAAGTTTTCAACATGCTTTTTAAAAGATAATATTTCATTTAATTCTCACAGAAACCTTATGGCAACTATAATTTTGTCTCTAGACAAAATAATTTAAAGCTCAGAGAGATTAACTGACTTTCCCAAATCTATATTTCCAATGTGAAGTGCCAGAGCCAAGAAACAATAGTAAACCTCCGCACAAATATTCCATGGACTTAAGCACATATTCTAGGGCTTTGGGAACAGGTTCAATACAGAGTGATTGTTTATGTTAATGTTTACAAAGTTTTTCCTCTTGAATGCATTTTGTCAGCACTTATTTTCTCTGTTCAAAGGTCTGCTCATTATCAGATCAGATATAGGTGATAAGAAAGAATTAAATGACCATTATGAAAAACTACCATGTCGCAAACATTTTATTAGAGACTTAAAAACAATTCTCACAATATTGGTAAGCTAGTAAAGAATAGTCAGAGAAGTCAAGATAAGTAGAAGTATGTTTTCAAGGTAGGCATTTTTGGGAAGTAGAGAGACAAGAGAGGGATATATATATATGTGTGTGTGTGTGTGTGTTTGGTGAGGCAATATCAGCATATTTATCATATTTAGTTCTTAATCTTTTTTTCCATTAATATCAATTGAAAATCTAATTAATGGAAAAACTCATAAATGAATTTTATATTAAGTGGTACTAAAAACTATAATTAGTTACTGAGATGTGCTATGTAGGTACAGAACAAAAAGGATATAATCAGAAGTCTTTTAATAAAATCCTTTTGATAGTCAATACCAAAGTTGTTTTGGGGAAGTCATAAGTTATACGCATGTTTTGGGAAGTCACACCTATACCTGAATTTAGTTATTATGTTCAAGAAAGTATCAAGGGATATCCATGTAAATATATCACTTGAACAATTTGCAGCCATTCATATGACTGCTCTTTTCATGTTTTGCATGTGATGTAAAAAATACAACTGTTTACAAATTCATGAATTACATTTTTAATACACACCTGCCAATGGAACACACTGCCTTACATGTGTAATAAGGTTGTCTGCTGGAGTTCTCAAGGTCATAAAGCACAATCACACCATCTGAACCACCTGATAACATACTGATAATAAAAAAGTTCACATTATTATTTTATGTAGTCCATTTATTTATAATTGCAAATTTCTGAAAATTGATTTGCAAATACCCAAATGTATTAAGGCCCATGCAGAGGTAATCTGTATTTATCATTAACACAGACTTCAATAAACTAAACTTTCTTAATATTTATAGAAGAATGAAAACAGAAAAATTCAATCTGTTGTCATTTAGTTTACCTTCATGATTCCAAAATGAAAGAACAGTAGAAACAAGATGACAAAATATATTTCTTAAGAAAGTAAAATATTACAAAATTAAATGTCCTAATTATAACTGTTCTAAATGAAAATGAAATTAGACCAGCTATTACTGATATTAGCTATCTGACCTTGGGCAGGTTTTATCACCTATTTAAGCCTTCCAACATTTGATTAAAAAAGAAAAAGGGACATTTTCACCTAAATAACAAAGTTGCTGTGATGTTAAAAGTGCAAAGTTCGTTTTACAGTACCTGGTAAAAAATAGGAGATCAATAAACGTCAGATTCCTTCCCTCTCTTATGAATGCATTCTCTCAATTCATTCAACTGAGCACTTACAATATTTTAGGCACTCTGCTATACAACTGTGAACAAGACAGACACACGATTTCTGTCCTTGTGGGGTTTACAATCTAGTAGGGAAAACAAGAAGCGTATATAATCACATAAACTGTTAGTTATAATTGGGATCATAGTGATAATAACTTATTTTTTTATTCTAGTTTGGGGATTCAGGGACAGTTTCCCTGATTGTAATATTTAAGCTGGCATATGAAGAAGGAATCAGAGTTAGCCAGACAGGTGTAGAAGTAACAATCCAAGCCCATTTTAGGAACCGAAAGAAGGAATGTGTTGCTGGAGTAGCATGGAAGGGAAAGAGTGTTGAGACATGAGACCAACAAGGGCCAGAACACTCAAAACCTTACTTCTGTGGGTAAAAGAGGGTGTGAAAAATTAAACAATATAATTTTTGGAAACAATTATTGATCTACTCCCAAACTGCTCTATTATATTGGTAGAACCTATAAAACTATTCTATTTAAAAGCTTTGTAAAAATTTCTAAAAAGTGAAAACATATAAGGAAATATACTAATACATTAATTGAATTTAACTAAAAAATAACTTATAAACATTATTCTTGGCATTTCGTATACTTTAATCAGTTTCTTAACTATATCTGTCTTTAAGACTGTTACTTTTATTTTTTGAATAATATGCTTTTCAATATGATCTTACTGGTTTTTTCCATAAAACTGCCTGAAATCATCTTTGAATTTAAAGTGTTGCCACCTTTAATTGACTTCCCTGAAAGCCATAATATGTTTAATTTAGAAAACAATAGGTGTTCAGAAACATGGTAAGTTTAGAGAAACTCTGCAAAATGGAAGATAGTCTTGCTTCTCTTTTTTCATATTGAAATGTGCAAATATTTCAGATTAAATATTTTTACTGTTTCTGTCTTTTTAACTCCATTCAGAGTACCTTTCTTTGGCAATTTTTTTTTTACAAGATAAAATTCTCTTCATACAAATTTTCTACTTTATGTCCCTTCTGGATGTCATACCAAATTTAAATTTACAAAATGTTAGACATTCTGAATTCTATTCCATTACTATACAAAATATAAATTTATCCAATTAAAAATGGAAGCATTATGAAGACCCAAAGGTCCAAACACTAGGATATCTCTAGATCATAACTCCTTCCCTTTCTCCTCAAAGTAACTCATTATCATGACTTTTACAGGAATCACTGTCTTTCCTTTCTGTAATGGTTCATTACCCAAGAATGTATGCATGGGGGAGGAGGGGATGGGTATATATACACCTAATGGGTGCAGTGCACACTGTATGGGGGATGGACATGCTTGAAGCTCTGACTCAGGTGGGGCAAAGGCAATATATGTAACCTAAACATTTGCACCCCTGGAATATGCTAAAATAAAAAAAAAAAAATTAAAAAAAAAGACTAGCATATTCACAGGGCCTAACAGAAAGTGAGCGTTCAAGAAATGCTGAGGACTGGAGATGGAATGGAATATTAATAGGTTATAATAAAATATTTTCATTTTCTATAAAAAAAGTATCCATGAATACTAGATTTGCTTTAAAAAAATGTAATGTCTTCTACCTTTAATTTATAGGTCCTTCCTCCCTTTCTTCCTCTCTCCCTCCTCTATTTTTTCCCTCTCTCCAAATTTATTTGTTGCAGAAACCAGATCATTTGTTCTGCAATTTCCAGCCTGGATTCTGGTGACTATGTGCTAAAATTTAAAATGATCTTTGTCACTGCTCTCTTTATTGTGATGTGATATCAGCAGACAAACCAATATCTAGGTCTATGAATTTATATATCTATATAAAGTATTACTATTTGCTAATATTGCTCATCATCAATCCTGACATTGCTGTCTCTCTAGTTATTCTGGTTGTTTGATTTCGTTCTCTCGTAGTTTCCTAAGGAAGGGCTAATGAGAACAATATTCCCTGAATTCTTGTGTTATTGACAACTTGTTTGTCCTTTTATACTTGAAAACCGGTTTGGTTGGATATAAAATCCTTGGCTCAAATTTTATTTCCTTGAGCATCTGAGATGAGAAACTTCATTTCTTTGGGCACAAAGCCCAAAAGTCATAGTCTGATGACAATATGACTTTTTCCCCTTACATGAAGTTTCAGATCTTATTTTTTATATATTTTTTTAAGGAACATGAGCCAAAGTTTTTATTTGTTCACTTCTCGCATTTGAAGTACTCTTCGATGACATCCTTGGCCTGAGATTCTTTGCCATAGTCCTTTACTACTACATAGCTGCAACCAATCACCTTATGGGATTTCCCTTCTCTGTCAATTTTACAAAGGCCTACCCATTTCCCTAGTTTCTTGTTGTCATCAACCTTAATTAGGTTGATTTGGGGTTCAGCACAAAGGGCCTCCACCAACTGGACAAACACGGGCTCATCACAGTTGGATGCAAGCACACACAGATGGGCTTGGCGCCTAAGGCTTTGGCAGCTTCGCGAATTCCACATGCAAGGCCATGGTGGATGAGGGCGGTCTTCAGCGCCTCTTGTAAAGTAGTATTAATGTCCATTACACCTTCAGCAGCAATGCCTTTCTCGGCCATGGTGGTGGGTTAGGGGTGAAGCCCAATCTTGAACACACCCGAGTCTCCACCTCCACATGAATCGGGGGCAGCAGGGAAAGAGTTTCAGATCTTATTTATTCTATGAAAGTTTTCTTGAATTCGTGTTTAAATATTTATTATGTCCTCTTGTTTTGTTTTTCTTTTCTGGAAACTTCCATTATATGTATGCTGGATCAACTTTGTCTGCATTTTACATATGTAATTACCTTTTGAATCCTTTTCCTCTCTTCATTTCTTTTTGATTTTAAAAATTTTCTTGCTTTCCACTTTCTAAGTCATTACCTCTTATATTTACTTGCCTGTATTCCTTATGCTTTAGTCTTCATTTTTGGAATATTTTTCTTTTATTTCTAATTTTCTCTTGAGTCTGATCATCTCGTTTCTGAGTTTTTCCAATTCCAACTTACATTATTCTTTCATTTATTATATCTTTATAAAATGAATTTTAGCTAGTTTTAAAATATTAGGTTAGAGTTCACATCTGTTTTATAGGTATCTTTCTGGCATGACTTCATTGTCTGCAGTGGCATTATTCTACTTCTTATTTTCTTTGTTCTTACAATAATTTTGTATGGATTTTGACCTTAATCCTATGCTTTGCTCATTTTTATGTAAATTAAGTTTCTTAAACCTTTAGAATGGAGGCTTGATTTAGAATAATAGTGAAATTTTATATTTTTAGAACATCTTCTTCTTCCCTCAAAATTTTTTTTCTGAGGTAAGATGTTCAAAACATGGCAGCTTACCAGAGATTTCCTGGTCTGTTCACCTCCCAAATTTTATCTGGGACATTTTTTCCTTTGTTTCTATTGTCTTTGTACTGCTTAGTTTGAATTCTATTTCAAGAAGCTCCTCCTCGGTGTACGGTTCTGTCCTGGAGAGCTTTGACTACCTGGTTCTGTAGAGGGATATTAGGGCCCAGACTGCTCCTTCTGGTCTTACTGTGGACTACTTGAACTACAACTGGAGTATGACATTCTCTCCTAGTTTCAGCTGCTGTTGCTTTTTTTTTTTTTTTT